GAGGAAATTAGTTTGTCTTAGTGTGGTAATCCATGCCTACGTGATGAGGCCTACCCGGAGCGGCGCTTTACAGTTTCTGGACATTTACGTTCAATCAAGTTTGAATGCTGACGTCAATGATACGTGCATGGCTTCTGATTACACGTCATTGGTGGATCGTGCTAGCTAATCCGAGGCAGTGCAGACAGAAGCAAGAGTATGCAAGCAGTACTACAATCCAATTGGTGGAAGCCTGCATAACCAATAACCTTCTTTTGTACGTGTTATTTAATCGCCCTCATTTCCTTCAATAAACGAACTACGTACTACTATTCTCGTGGTCTATTCCTCACTTCTCGTTCACCTGGGATATTGCTAACTCGTGCCATTGCAGTCCAGTGCTTCTGCGATTCAGTCCGTGATAGCTGATTATCGATTCGTGTCCTGTGATTCATATTATGTGGTTGGTGTTCCGAATTCCGTGCGTACTACTACTACTACTACTAATACCAATACAAACATTATACTTAGTCACAACGAACAAAAAACCAAACGTGTTTTTAATCCCTTTGATTTCTTTCAATGAACGAATTGCTACTTCGGTGGCCTTTTTGTTGTTGCATATAAGTGATTGGGGATGCCAGTGTGCAAGTGCAATGTGATTCAGCATTTCAGCTGCATCCGTGATTCGTGTTCAGTGACGTCTTCGACTACTATAGATTGCTACACTTAGGTGTCTGTGTTGATCCCAACCTGTGAGATGACGCATACACTGGAGTGACGCGTTACAGTTTTCGCACAACTGTGATCAATCAAGAACCTTCACGGGTGATGTCAACAAAGCGCGTGCGTCCCACAGCTTCTGAACTACAAACCTTAAACCGATTGTATCAACCAATGAGAAACTGTGTGGCCCAGACAGAAGCAGAATAACGACAGAAATACTAGAATGCAATTCACAGAGGTTCGGATGATCAATGATCTTGTTTTGTACACATTATCTAATCCACCTTATTTCTTTCAATAAATGAACTACTACTTCTGTGGTCTTCTCCTCGCATCTCGGTTACGTGGGATATTGCGTGCAAGTGCCAGTGTGGTCCAGTGCTTACGTGACGTCCGTGACCAATAATCAGTGATTCGTATTCCATGATTCGTGTTTTGTGTTCATTGCGTGCTACTATTAGAGTTACTACAATTACTACAGTGTCACGCAATGAAACTACTAGCCCTTGGACAAACGAACCTCTTCCGAGATCAAGGAATTGGTAGAATGGTTTGAACTGTCGTGCAATATTCGCAAGGGTGTTACGCAGAGCCAATCAATACTATTTCTCCTTATTGGTAGTCAAGATCTGTATATTCCACTGAACCAACTTGCAATTCCTGAAATTCCTGAAAAACTGCCGTACGATTTTCTCAATGGATTGCTGCTTCACCATCTACTGCCCACTGAGTTCCAGGCATGCGAAGGGATCAAATTGAGTTCTTCGTTACGTGCCGAGAACATGTCACTTCGTGATTTTGTCATCCAGCTAAACTAACAGGCGTCACGCTACAAATAGGGTGATCGTTTGGAGGAACAAGTGTGCGACTATCTGGTGGCTGGTATCAATAAATTCACATTACAACGGGAAATACTGGGTGAGGAAGATCTGGCGTTTGCCGAGGCAATCTGCGAACAGCATGATGATCTGTTTCAGGCGGTGCTGGTCGAGGATTATTGTTTATTGAGGAAAACAGATGATAAATCAGTAATTTGGCATAAATAACACAGTAAATTGTAATGATTGTAGTAGTAGTAATACGCAAGGAATTCGGAACACTAACCACGCAATATGAATTACAGGACCCGAATCGATAATCAGCTATCACGGACTGGATCGCAGAAGCTATGTCCCACGAGAACAAGACGCAAGGAAAAGGCCGCAGGAATGGTAGTAAANACAAAAGGAGATTATTGGCTACCTGGGCTTCAACCAATTGGATTGCAGCACTGCTTGCATACTATTGCTTCTGTCTGCATTGTCTAGGATTGGCTAGCACCATCCACCAATGACGTTTATTCAGAAGCTATGCACGTCAGAAACATACCATAGCAGTTCCTGACCGCGTAACTGTTACTTAATGTAGAAATAGATAGTTACTCTTTGAGATACAGAAATTTGCTCTCGGTGGTTTACTTAATTTTTGATCCCCGAAAGTAATCACCGACTATGTTACCTACTACTCACAAGTGAGTAGTATCTCACAACACTACTACTATTAATAACAATACGGTTATATAGTCAACTTTTAAATTACATAAACTCAAAAGGCAAATAAGGTAAAGTTTGCTTTTATGCAAATAGTATAGTGTCGTTTGTGAAATGTCATTTCAGCTACAGCTACACACACACCCTTGTACCTTCTCATAATACAATTGCTGCTACAAGTATCACTGTACCTACTACTCCTACTACTAATACCAATACTACTACTACCACTGTTATAATCCCACAAGGCGGTGCTTGTCGAGGATAATTGTTTATTGAGGATATCAGATGGGAAATCTGTAAATTGGCATACACAACACAGAGAATCTCATCAGAAGCATACCATTGCAGTTCCTGGCTGAATGACGGGTAATGAACGTAGCAATCGATGGTTATTCTTTGAGATATAGCAGTTTGCCCTCGGTGATCTTCTTAATTTTTGATCGTCGAAAGTGATCACCAACTATATTACCTACTCATAAGTGAGTGGTATCTCACAACACCACAACTGCATCGGTCACTCGCTTCTAAGGACTTGGCCAAAAACCAGTCCACCTGCCAGTTTCCAAACATGAAGGCAAGTAGCAGTGGGATATTCCTGGGTCTGAGAAACACATGACTCAGTAACTGTCGTGCGGAGCTTACCATTTGCGCTCCTCGTGTCGTTTCTGACACGCCAATATCTTAATTTTGATATAATCAATGAACATACAAGCGTTAGCCGCAGGTATTTGCAATAAAGGCTCATGGCAAATATAGTCAAGTTACAATACAGCATGGTCATCACGCCCTAATGGGGTTTTGTTGTAAATCGTTTGCACAATCCATTCTTTCTTTGTTAATATGAAGTCCAAGACCGACAGTGACTGGTTGGTTCCTTCACAGGATTGTAAAGTAGACAAGATTCAATAAACGGTGCAAATTTCCGCTCAAACGGTTGTTAGGGAGATCACCGATTTACCCAGAATTCGGCAATATAGTTACCCTTAATGAGTAGTTTCGCGAACTTCGATGATATAATGTGATACATGGTTTGATGCAGTGTCTCATTGGCTGAGTCTGTGAATGAAGCAGAACGGTACACCACACCAATCAAGCGGATATCATGTCACGATTGTGGCACTTTGTACCACAGTGAGTCAGAAGCCGCTGCAGAAAAAAATTGTGGTTTGCTTCTAAAACAGAGCAGCACACCGCCACTCCCCATATAGCCATTGAGTCTGAACAGCGTCAGCCCCGTTTCGGTAACCGCAATAATACCCCATCGACCAGTTTAGTAACGCAGTTCCATTTCTGAAAAGTTGTTGAGGAAACCGTGGGCATTGGTGTAGAAACAATGCATTTGATGGCGGGGCAGAAACTCGTTGAGGTGCGAAGGGAGAATCTAACCGTCCGCGTCGTGGTCGGCTAAGGGAAGTGATTTTGGGAAGAATTTGTAGGGTCTGATCAACCAGTTGCGGAAGTAACAGTATGTGGTAACCCAGCTTACGCGGTGGCGACATTTTCTGCCGGAGTACAACTTTTCGGTCTCAAGCGCATTTCTGGTGGTTCCCAAAGTTATTTTTATTATCCTCGTGCTATCCCCGAGGCATTTTGCAGAATAAGAGCGAGGATTAACTGTTGTATTCCACATCTGACAACATTCAGTCAAACCTTGAACAAGCCACCACTCTTTACAGTCGTTTTGCTGACATTTTTATGTGCCTGGGTCATCCAATTGCAAGACTCTGTGCATTCTCTGTTTGTCATACATGAGCAGGATTATTTCTCTAATCTAATGGAAAAAATCCTTATTTTACTTCAAGTTCTTTAGAGGAGAAAGCTGGGCAGAAGAACAATTTACTCTCCAGTGCCGCTTGAAACCTGGGTTCTCCGATGTGAGGTGAAATCGGTTTTTATTCATAATGTCTCATTCTTATACTGAAATTAATTATGTAATGGAATGCACATACAGGTTAATCTAACCGTGAAAATTACTGACTGCAGTTCTTATTGATAAATCGAATAAATTTCGACCTCTCTTCAGAGAGGAGCCTGGGAAAAACATATACACATTAATTATTAGTTGCTTTCACGATTTCTATACATATTATGAGGGTGCAGAATCATCCCATTGTCAAAGAAAGCAGGGTTTATCTTGACATAGTTCTGCTTATATTCAGAGTAAAGTCATCTTAAGACTGTGATTGTTTTCTCTCTGGTAAATATTTTTCTGTTCTACCGAGTTGAGTAGCTCTAGATGAAATCCTGTATAAACATTGTGCAATGTGAAATGTCGTTCTAATTCTAAATACCGGAAAGAAATTAAATACGAATCGCATGAAAATAAGACTCGTCCTTCAGTGCACAGGTGTACGGGCCTGTGCCTCATCATTCAAATCTAGGCTGCCTTCGATCATTTAAGGCAAGTCTCGGGGAGCCAATCACTGAATGGCCTGAGACTCAGAAATCGATTGAATTGAATAACCTCCGGTAAGTTTAACTAGAAGCAATTATCTGAAGTACTGTTCTAGTTGGCCTTCATTATTAGGCTTATAGAGTTAAGGTACACCTGAACAGATTCTCTCCTTTGTAAAAATATGGTAAGTACTGCACCGTTCCTGTATGGTTTGACCTTAACATATTTTATATATTATAGCACGAGTGTGTTTCCATCCATCTGGGACAGGCAGGGGTGCAGATTGGGAATGCAGTCTGGGAATTGTATTGTCTTGAACATGGGATACGACCAAATGGATTACTTCAGACTGGCACACCCACCGTGTATGACCGATCGTTCGATACCATTTTCTTGGAAACCGGTTCCGGAAAACTAGTTCCGCGATCTGTCTATGTTGACCTGGAACCAACAGTTGTGGACGAGGTTCGAACAGGTGTCTATCGGACACTATTTCATCCGGATCAGTTAATCAGTGCCAAAGAAGATGCGGCAAACAATTACGCTCGTGGTCATTTCACTACCGGTCGATCGGTTGTAGACTTAGTTTTGGATCGTGTACGAAAACTAGCCGATAATTGTGATAGTTTACAAGCATTCCTGGTGTTTCATTCACTCGGTGGTGGAACGGGATCGGGATTTGCTGCACTCCTGATGCAACGATTGGCTATTGACTATGCTAAACTATCCAAGCTGGAATTTTCCATCTATCCAGCTCCGTCAATCTCTTCGGCTGTGGTAGAACCGTACAATTCATTGCTCACGACACACACAACTTTGGAAGTGTCGGATTGCTGCTTCATGTTTGACAATGAAGCAATCTATGATATTTGCCGGTAAGAATTATAATTTTTAATCACTGATAGAATACCTTTTTCTTCTCCCCTTTTTGTCTAGGAGGAATCTGGATATTGAAAGGCCAACTTACACAAATTTGAATCGGCTTATTGCTCAGATCGTCAGTTCTATCACGGCCTCACTTAGATTTGGAGGGTCTCTGAATGTAGATGTAAAGGAATTTCAAACAAATCTTGTGCCTTATCCACGTATTCATTATCCCTTGGCTGTACTGGCTCCAATCACATCAGCCGAGAAAGCGTACCATGAAAGACTCACTGTGGCTGAAATCACAAATGCCTGTTTTGAACCGGCCAATCAGGTTGCAAAATGTGATCCGCGTCGGGGAAAGTATATGGCTTGTTGCTTACTGTATCGTGGAGATATTCCCTGTCACGAAGTGAACGCGTCCATTGCAACCATCAAGGCGAAACGAAGCATTCAATTTGTCGACTGGTGTCCAACAGGATTCAAAGTCGGTATCAATCATCGACCACCAACAGTGGTACCCGGTGGTGATTTAGCCAAAGTACAGCGAGGTGTATGTATGCTAAGCAACAGCACTGCAATTACCGAAGTGTTTACACGCTTAGATCACAAGTATGATATGATGTATGCAAAGCGGGCATTTGTTCATTGGTATGTTGGCGAGGGGATGGAAGAAGGCGAGTTCACCGAAGCTCGAGAAGATATGGCCTCGTTGGAGAAAGATTATGAAGAAGTCGGATTGGACACGATTACCATGAGTGGTGAAGGGGAAGCAGAGTATTGAACTGTGCACATACTACATAACTTTATGTAGTAAAATTTTAAAGTAGCCGGATTCCGCTGCTCGTGAGCGAGCAGATCATCGTTGCTGAGGTGAGCGGTTCCGTGTCAGGATCCAGTTCACAATTCGCTTGTCGATTTGTGCACGACCTGCGCAATTCACGTGAACTGTTTCACATGTCTCTCTGTGTCTATCTGTGCATGTGTTTGTGTGTGTCTATCTGTGTACACAACATACAACTTCGGATGAAGTTGTATGTCTGAACAGCTCGACGACTGTTCATGGGATATTACGAACGGTAATAGAACAGGTCGAAAGCTGTTGTACATACGGTCTTCTCGTCTTTTTTGGGGTGACACGATACAAATAGCAATCTGACGGTGAATAATTCCGAAGATAGCGTATTTTCTGTAAAATCTTTTAGCAATTTAGCTTATTTGTTTTGTTCCATGTCTCTTGGATCCTTCAACCGGATGGCTTTCGTTATGATTAACAAAATGAACCCGAAGCAAACGTTTTCTAATTGCACATCCTTCAGTGTTAAACAATCGAAAGATGTAAACCCCCATGGTTTTGCGGGCCCTTTTTTCACTCATGCTGACGGCTATGAGCTCTAATAAAATAGGGGTGAACTTGATCCGGACAAGCGCAAAATTGCTGGCCACCAGAAGTAAAGTGGTGATGGTGGTGGTAGCCGGGTTTGAATCTCAAAGATTTGGGCCCATTGGCCCATTGCGCCCCAGTGATACTGGTTTAAATCGATGTTCAAGCTAAATTTAGGGGGTTTAGATGCTATACGTTTTCGGTAGTTAGTTTGGTAAATCAGTGTTGATCGTCTATTTCCGTGCTCTGTTTGAAGCAATGAAAGTGATTGGGATTAAACTGAAATAGAAAAATATGGGTAATAGGACAAAATTAGTGATATCCAGAAAGGTACACGGGGCCTGAAGGTTAACATTAATGACGTCCGTATCATCCATTATCTCCAGCCGTTAAAGAGACTGATATAGATAACCCACAAGAAAATTCCTTAACGGAATCAACGGACCGTCTTGATGCTTTTCTAACGGGATGGGGGAGGGGCCTCCAAAGCAAGCGTACAACCAAGTCTCAATTGGATCGGTCCTGACGGCTTTCAAGTCCACTGTGATGCGGATAACACATTTGGGAACTAACAATATGCAAATGCATTAAATGGTTGAGGTAAAACGAGCGTGGACAAATTTTTGAGCAAAGCGAAACATACGCACAAACAGATCCAAAATTTCACTGGTTTACTTAATTACCCGAATGGAAATGACCACCACAATATGTGAGACAAGCAACACCGGAGATTGTTACTGAGTAAATATGCCATAACAGAGGAAATGTGTTGGGCAAAAGCTACCACTTTTTATCTGATTTTCTCCGTACAATCGATCACTTTACACTTCCTAGAACACCGACATGATCAAGCCCACGGATATGAAATAGGTTTCTTAAGTCGGGAAATATAATAATACCATTTGGTCTATTACATCATTAAGAAACTGCAATCTGCCGTGGTCGGGGGCACCATACACATCCGTGAACTAAAGAACTAACCCGGATCGAGTACAGGTTGGCATATTGATCCTCCAATTCGAGGGATGGGAGTGAGATAGTGTTTGATGTCTCAGTCTGTAAAAGCGATGGGGTCATATTTGATCCAAGTACATCGTCTTCAATTTTGTCTTACCTGTTGCCTTGCTATGTGATTCCCGTTAAAACCAAATGGTTTGAATTGGAGTCCGGATCGTTATCTTCTTTGATATTTGAACTTCTTATGTTATGAATCCTAAAAGGTGATGCTGATGGAAGATAATCGTTTATTGAAGATTATAGACAGGAGATCAGTAATTTGGCATGCATAACACAAAAACCTAATCAGAGACGTGCCATCGCAATTCGTTCCGACACAGGATAATGTGTCACTTGGCCCTTGATGGTCCTGTTATATTTTTGATCATTGAAATTTACCTACTACTCACAAGTGAGTAGCATCTCACAACACTAGCAGTGTCCGCTCGACAAGCTTCAAATCATGCACAAATTCGGAACAGCATTTTTGTTAAGAGGGATAATCTGGACTATGAAGCTCATAACATTAAGCGGTAGGGGTCGTGATAGTTCCGTTGCTACTCCAGTACACAGATTTTTCATATTTCACTCCTAGGTTATTTGAGAGTAGTAGTGCGGGGTGGTGGTATTCGTTAAACCGAGCACCTTTCAAAATTCTTATTCACACACACTTCTCAATTCATTCCATGAACTATACACTTAGAAATCAACCAATGTGTGTTTTCTTGAGTGGTGCATATCCAGCGCACCATGCGGAATTGAACTCTAAAACTTTCACCATGCAAATCAACTCACGTCTGGTCGATGACCCGATTAATCAACTTAATTCCAATCAGATGTCGTCTTTTATGACTGTCACTATGTTCACTGAACCCGATATTAGAAAAAGCAAACACAATTACCCATCAACCGAAAATTCTTGTTTTTGGTTTTATCTCCTTGTGGTTAGTCCAAACGTTCTTATACGGATCTAATACTATGAACACGACGCTCAATTTCTTCAAAGACATCCGTTTCAAATTTGGATCTGATACCGTTAAAATTACCTATCTGTTAACCAGATTCGGTGACTGGATCAACGAAGGATTATGCGTGAAGATGAAATCCAATAGATGATCTATCTAAATTAAAAAAATTGCCTTTGTTGGGCATTCGTCATTTCTCTACGACCATCCCCTTTAACTCAATCTTTTCGTCCGTATCATGCCCTAGGAACAGTTGTTTGTTGACTACCAACATCGGTTCCCGACTGAATCACGAATTCGGACAACTTAACACATAGACCCCGAGGACCTTCAGTGTGTGGACTCCTGTGCAGGCCGATTCGCAGCCGGTTAAATCTGAGGATAAAGTTGCCGAAGCGATCAGGATGAGCTTAAACTGCGACACTTCGACCGAGGACATTTAAGGCCTTTCCCAAAAACCTTCGAACTCTACTATTTTCAGAAAATGAATAGTGATCATCGACGAGGTCTGTTCCGCATCATGTGCTCTTTTACACGATAAATTTTCGGCGCAGTATACGATGGACGGCAACGCAGTGATCTGTTGCAACCGGTAATCAGATCCAAATTGTTAGCATTGCAGTAAGCTACCACTGCTGTGTTACAGTATGAGATTATAGTTATCATTGAATTATTTAAGAACATGACGATCACGCACTGATTTCTATCCCCTTAGTATGGGGGTTCAGTGATTACTGAAACAGTGGTAAATCGGTTAACTCGTCATCGTTTGACTGATTTAGCTATCGAAAAGGATTAGGCGCATGAACCTATACCCTTGGACATTATTCGGTTGATGAGCTATGGACAATTAATACATCTGAGAGGAATCAGAAGGAGCTTACAAATCATATCCATAAAATATCCAATCTGACCTTGAAGGTCATCGGTTCGATTAATTAACTCAGTGTTTCGGGCACCCTAAAAACTTCACGGTCGCAATTAGATCCGTCGGACCAAACACCAATCTCCGATTGACCATGATCGACATACATCATCTCCTCACGAGAACTGTTCAGCTAGCCAAGGCTTCCTACAAATTCTTATGGTATTTTCTATACGCAAAACTGAATATGACATTTTACTCTGAACTGGACTGTGGAGATAGTCTGCGGGACACTACAAGTATCAGTCTGTAAGTGTTTTCCATAATTGAATTTATACCATAACCTTCTTCCTGTATCTCATTGGGTAATATCAAATGAGACTGAAAATTCGTCGCGAGTGCCTTGTATTTCCTTGCGTTTCTTCGCTATTCGACTGTATATTCTGCTTTTGTTCTTTCTGGCAATGAATTTGATGATGTTGAATTTTCTATTCTTAACTTCATATTTAAGATTTTTACTGTGGAGCATGTTTTTTAAACCGATGCTCACAGTGATTTTTGTGAATATGTAAATGCCTGTTCTTGTTTTATTACGACCCCAGTTCCGATTGAATGTTCTTTGTTGGACTAATCGTTCCTATCGGCCATATTAAACTCCTTTCGGCTGTAACGCTCACGATCAATTTCACTTGATCTACTGAAGCGTGTAAAAATTCCTTCTCCTTTCAGAATTCTCTGAAAGTAATTCTAAATTACTCATTTTACCATTTATTTTTATTACCACAGATTACATGTAAAACTTTGGCCAGATAGTGATTCAGGCTCGCTGTCAAAGGTATGACTGCTTTGTGTATTTGTGATATCGCCACAATAATACCGTACATTATTTTTGGATTGACTTGTTTCTCGATAACTTTGAGCTACGCGTTTTGGTGAGGTTCGATCCTCACCATCCAGAACGAGTGAAGAGTTATTTGATTAAACGGATATAAGCGAGGTGTTTTCATTTCGCTCGGACCAAGACAATCGCGTTTTGGTCGCTGTACAGTGCTCAGAAATTCCGGTAGTTGATTACGGGAGCCATTGCTGATCCGTAAATACTTCGAGTAATACAACTGCAACTTCTTCCATCAAGCATCAGCCAAAACCCGGTATCCTTTAGCCAAAACCCACATCCTTTAGCCAAAACCCGAAATGCTTTGGCCTCGACCCGCAATCGTTTAGCCTTGACCTACATTCCTGTGGTGATCCAGGCCTAAACGATGACGCCTACCCTGGAGCGGCGCGTTACAGTTTAAGGACATTCGTGATCAATCAAGTTTGAACGCTGACGTCAAAAATACATGCATGGCTTCTGAATAAACGTCATTGGTGGATGGTGCTAGCCAATCCTAGACAATGCAGACAGAAGCAATAGTATGCAAGCAGTGCTGCAATCCAATTGGTTGAAGCCCAGGTAGCCAATAATCTCCTTTTGTACATATTATTTAATTACCTTCAGTTCTTTCAATAAACCCACTACTGTTTACTATCATTCCTGCGGCCTTTTCCTCGCGTGTCGTTTTCGTGGGACA